TTGTCCTCAATAACAATCATATCATAGTATATAAAAATTATATTGGAGCACTCGTGTGATCCATAGAAGTATGATTAGACTGAAAAGAATATAAGATAATTTTTACTCTAAGAAATAGAGGTAATTTAATAGAGTAAATTGTATTTTTTTAATGGATATGAGAAAATCAAAATGATATAGAGGGAGTGGTAAACATTTTTTTTCTTTTGCATGTAGTCACCTTTCAGGGAAACGTTTCTTACCAAAGATTTTACAATATTCAGGATTCAAACTCGAGATCTTTAATTAAGAGAGAAGCAACTGCCACCATATCCGATCCGTTTGGTAGTCCATTCCTTTCTATTCTTTAGAATATAAGAACACTTTTTTAAAACTAAATAAATAATTAACTCTAGTTGCATGTCTATATCGTGCCTTCCAACCAGAAAAAATACTTGAACAAGAAGTATTACTTTAGCTTAATTAAATGTTTGTTGATTTCAAATATTATCCTTCTTAGTATTTAATATTTGATTACTCTCCAAAGCATTTTTATCTTTTCTAAAGTCTAATTAGGGCTTCATTAATGATGTTGTCTGACACCAAAATGACAATCAAAGTTTTTTCATAGCAAACTAATGAGCCTTCCTTTATAGCCTGCCCACACTCTTCATAATTTTTCATTTCGCTTATTATAATACTCATTATAAAAGGATCATACTCTTAATAATATAGTAACATCTTTGTGATATAGTGATAAAATCTACACAATTATAGAGGATAATTTCTTCACTTTATATACTTTTCATCTAAACATAATTTTTTTGTCTTTCTTAAAAGTGCTTAGGTCATAGTCAATTTAGACTAAACATGTATGGGCCAAAGTGTCATTATTAGCAAACCCTCTAGTATTATAAACTATGTTTTCAACTTTAATTTTAATCAAATTGTTGTAATCATGATGTAATTCCAACTAACTAGCTCCTGCATCTATTGGAGCTGATGTTGTCATTATTTAATTAAACAACGTTTGAATTTGCGTTTATTTATTTTTAACCAATAAAAATTGTGTTCATTTGATCCCAAATTGGATTTGACAATAATCTCCATTTTAGTTCAACTTTATAACCCCGTCCTAGTTTTTTTTTAGATATATAAGCAATAATGTAAAATAAAATACTTCTCAAAGTCCTAGTAGATATTGACACCGAAAAACAAAAATTATGGGAGTGAATAAAATTAGATATTTCATTAGTCCTAATCATAAATAAATAGTAGGCGATGTGTATATCGATATACAGTGTTATAACTAACGTAACGTGTTACGTATCATATCTTGAGAGTACGTTCGCAAGATAAAACTCAAAATAATTGATTAGAGCTCGTACAAAAAGTGAAGCATGTGATGTAATTTGATACAAAGTGAAAAATCTTATCAGGACTTGACATGCCGTATATAAGTTTCGTTTCTTTGAAGCACAAAACAGTGGACCCCACATTGATCACCTAAAAACAAATTTTAAAAACAATTGATCTTCATTAATTTAATCTAGACACTTACAAAGATCAAAACAATTTTCTAATCTAAAAGACAACTAATGGATTAAGAAGTAAATCGGAATTTAAAGTGAAAAAAGGGAATATGCTTGTGTTTGGTTTGGGGAATTAAAAGATTTTTCACATCCCACCAACTAATTCAGAATGTATAGCATGAAAGGCAACAAAAAATTTCATTAATATATTTTCAAAAAATCACAAGTTAAACATTTCACTATCAAATTACCTAACACTTGAAGATAGTCTTTTGCATGCATTATCACATAATATTGTATTGAATATATATTCCCATTTACGTGGCATAATATTGTTGGTTTGATTATTGATATGATATGATTGATTAGAATAATAATTGTATCAGTTTTGTCTGAGGAGATAAGATTAAATTACTTAGAAGAATTTAAGATGATATGGTTTACATTGTGTTACGTTCAACTTCTTTAATTTCAACAAGTCGTTCAAGAATAGAAATTGATGATGCGACGTAAGAGAAATTAAACTTCGATATATTATAACATAAAAAGTGGAGGAATCGGAAATTTGAGTAGGGAGATTTTAAAAATGTAAAAAACAAATCGGGCATTTCATTACCATGCCTTCCAACCAGACAACTTTTCTTGAACATACAACAACATAGCCTGTGAGATCTCGGGAGGATAGAATATATGCAAATCTTATCACTATCTCGTGGAGGTAGAGATGTTATTTTCGAAAGACTCTCGGCTCCCAACTTTCTTGAACATAATTTAAAATTTTAAAAAGAAGGTTAAACGTACTTAAGTTAAATCTTAATTAACTTTTGTTGCCAACAAATATATGTATGATATCTCTTTTGGTTAGATGAATGTATCCATCTTGTTCTTGCATGAAAACTATTGTTTATTTATTAAAAAATCTCCATTACTTTTAGCTGGTTTATAAATTAAAGTCATTTAAATTAAATCAAGCTAGGGATCAATCCATAATTTGTTAATTAATTTGAAGTGAGCCCTCCATTAGTTAATGGTGTCCACATGTTTCATCATTTCAATACCATACTATTAACAAAGATACATTAATTAATATCAACATTTTTCTTTCTTTACATGCATGCAATCATTTCGTTAAAATAGAAATATTAGTTGATGTTTTCATCGAAATGACGGGTATATAATTTTGAATTAATTAAATTTTGTGATTCTGATCTCTATAAGTAAGAAAAAAAATTATATTATGATTATTTTTAGGATTACATCGTCCTCCAAATAGAGTAGCAATACACGTTTAACATAATATATGAATAATTAGCTAATAAAAACAATTAATAATTCGGGTATATTTCTTATTCACAAGCAAATAGATTATAAGTGCACATTTCAATTGAAGGTAAAATATGCTTAGTCAATTATCAAAATTAAAACAAAATTTATTTTAACTTTTCTGGTATATTTTTCTGTAGTATCCTTGACTATTAAAATTTTAAAACGTTTTGGAAATTTGGAAATCAGTGGTTAATGTTAAAGGTAAAATGAAAGGAAAAAAATTGTCCTCTTGATATGCTAAAGTGAAATTTTATTTGTATTATAGTGAACAAGTAAAGGCGAACCACAACTAAATATGAGCAATTATGGAGGCTAAGTGCATCTTTAAGGCATTAATCATCATTACTAATTCTCCATTAGTAAGAAGCAATGTCTGTTGAAAAAAGGATCAATTAACTTTTGCTTTACTTTGGCATTCCTTTTAATGATGGTAATTAGAAGCTGGCAAGCAGCTAATTAAATTTCTCAAGGAAAAAAGTACATTAAATTAAACTTAATATCATAACTTATGCACTAAACATGCACCTTCATGACTACTCAATTAAGATGAAAAAAGAAATAAATTATAATGCAAAATGAATTATTTAGAAATTAAATTAATTTTAGAACACATACACAATGACTGAAACCAAAGAATCATTATAACTCAGCCAGGAATTTTTTTATATGATTTTAATCGACATATATTGATTAGTTAATAAATACGTCTACAACCCAAGTGAAAACTAAAAAAAAAAAATTGGTTTGGTAAATATGATAAATCAACATTTGATTTGAGAAGATTAGTGATGCATCCCAATGAGGTTTCATCGGAGCAGTAACTATTTTTTCATCCTTATTTAAAAATTTCGAACGATATCTTTATAATCTTTAATGTAAAAATTGTTGACACAAATTCAAATATAATCGGACCGATGTAAATATTTTTTTAAAATAATGTTGAGTACATGTGGTACTCTTTCTGACTCCTATTAATGACGGACAAGGTTCTGCAAGATTTTGAATTAAGCATATATCTTTCATTTATTATAGCACATGGTTTTGGTATCCAGGAGTTCTATATTAACTTAATTTATTGAATGAAAAATGTACCGCAAAAACCTACAAATAATACAATCAAACTCTTTTATTTAGTTGGATATCCGTAAAGTTCGATTATTTCGGAGAGAAGTATATTCTATTAAAAAAATCGTATTCAAGACTCAAATTCAAAATTTTTTATCAAAGAAAAAATACTGCGCCACGTCTTTTAGTGATCTATACCATCGACTTGTTTCTTTGATATTCTAGATTCAACTTTTTTAAAATCTACGTTCAATATATACACCAAATAACATTTTCATTTACCACAGTCAAGTGAGAGACCAAGATAAAATGTATATTGATTTTAATTATTATTAGGTGACAAAAGTACAAAAAGAAACACATGCCAAATTATCTTTAATTTGATGCGAACATAGTGTGTAGGTATATTTTGTCAATCTTCTTCTTTGTACTTTTCCTTAGCAAAAATATAAAAAGGGCCTGTAACCGTATTTGTTTGGATCTCAAAGTATTATTTACCTCGTTTCAATTTATGTGATATTATATTGATTTGATATATTCTTTTCGTTTAATTTGTCACAAAAAATTTAGAAGTATAGAATTTTTTTAGATCTTTTAACTTGATATTTATAAAATTATAAATTATTTGCAATTATAAAATTATGGCAAATGTTTTGAACATACTAAAAAAAAATATGCTCCATTAATCAGGACAAATCAAGTAAGATATTTGGAATTGCTTAAGCAATTGCTATTAAAAAGGCTTTTGAATATACTATTAATAATGAATGAAAAAATGTTGTCAATACGATTCAGAATTGAATATAAAAGAAATAGGAGCGACACCTAAATAATTGAATGCTCTTGAACATATTTGATCATATAATATATGATGTTTGAACAAAATAGCTCATAAATTAATTATTTTTCTATTTTTTTTATTGAATGAGATCTTTTGAGTGAGTGAATTATACAGGAGGCAAAGAGTGCATTTGGATTATGTAGAATTGTGTAGTTTCTTAATATATATATATAAAGAAAAAAAGAGTAAGATATTTGGAGAATTTCTTGCAAAAATAATATAAATATGAAAAAAAAATCAAGAAAAAACAGAGAATATATTAATTGTAGTACATAGAAACAACTTGCATTTATTAAAAATAATAAATAGAAAAAAAACACAATGCAATCACAACCATTCATTCCAATATATCATCATCACATGATCCCATTTTTTTTTTACATGCCCTAATAGCAGTCAGCTAATCCTCTTTTGACTGCTCAAATTTCACATTAAACTCATTCTAATACTCAAATCTTACTACTAATAATACTTCTTAAATAAATAAAACTACTAATAAAATAACCCTTCCACTCATAATCCCAACAACAACCCTTAATTAAACATTAATACTGATATAACATATCAGCAGAAGCCATAATTGGCTGATTAACATACATCAAATTCCATGGATTAATCTGAAAATCCTCTTGATAATTATTATTATTATTAATATTATTATTCGAATTATTGATGTAAGTGAGGATTTCATTAAGAGATTGCAACCTTTGAGTTAATTCCATCATTTGTGCTCTTAAAACAGAGTTCTCTGCTTCAACATTACCATATTGTTGTGTTGTCATATTGATGCTGCTCAGTATGTTGCTGTTTTCTTTCTTCAATTGTGTAACTTGACACATCAAATCATCCAAATGTTTCTGTTTTCTCATTCTTGATCTTCTTGCTGATTCGCGATTCGATTGCATTCTCTTTCTTTTCCTTTCATCAACCACCATTAAAACTTCATCACAACCTGAATTGTTCGGAATCTGAGATGAATTACCACTAGAAGTAGCCATTTTTTATGTACACAAGGTGAGAAAGTACTAATTTTAAGTTTTAAGGTATACTAGCAAAATTTGAAAAACTATGGATGAAGATTATTATTATTATTATTCTGAGAAAGTATAAAACCAGTAGAGGAAAGAAACAGAGAAAGATTGAACAAGATGAGTTCTGCGTCTAAGTGATGAACTGATTATATAACCAGAACGAAGGATTTCACTAAGAACTGGAGACATGAATCTGGTACATCAATAAATATTTCTATTTAGCATTAGCTTTTTTCTTTTTCACAGATCTTTAATGGGTTTCAGCAAGAAAGAGTAAAAACACAGAAAACAGAGCTTAAAAGGAGCAGAAAATGGAGAAAAGATTGGATCTTTAATGGATTTTAGCCACAAAGATTGAAAACCCAGAACAGAAAAGGTTAGATCTTTAATGGGTTTCAACAAGAAATATTAAAAACCCAGAACAGGAAAGGTTGGATCTATAATGGGTTTCAGCAAAAACCCAGAAATCAGAGGTTAAAAGGAGCAGAATTGGTGAAAAAAGATTGGATCTTTAATGGATTTTAGCCACAAAGACTAAGAACCTAGAAATCAAAAGGGCTAAAAAAGAGGAGAAAAACAAGAAACAGAACAACAGAAGGAGAAAAACTCAAAAACAGAGTAAGCAAATGGGAAAAGGAGAAGAAGAGGAAGAAGAGGAAGGAATTATCATTGAGATTGTGGGTTAATTTAAAGGCACAAAAAGGTAAATTAGAGGGCAAAAAAATCAAGAAGAAAATAATAAACAAGTGGGTTGGTGGGGGTAAGGGGGTG